AGGCTGGTGGTGATGCATATCAGGGTTCAAAAAACCTAAATTTCATAGTGATAATTTTGTTTACATTATTGTTTACGTTGTGGTTGCCCGAATTTGAAGTCAAAGTGAAGTCATACAATGAGGTATCGCTTTGCATGACGGTAACTTTTGAAGGTATTGTAATCTGTCTGACTTCCTGACTCCCTCGGCCCGCGTGGGAATGGTTTGTTTACCCGCACTGCGGTTCGAGACAAAAGAACGCTAGTCGTTTCCAGACCGGGGATAGAGGGACTGTGGCGTAACTAATATATCCAGCACTGTTGCAGATAAGGATGTGTAACTAGTGCTATAATGAAGGCTTTGCAAAAGAGATATGACGAACATGTATGTCTATATATGGTCATGCGACCTGATTAATATTCATAACTGTAATGTATTTAGCACTGCTGCAGATTAAATATAGTCATGATTTCATTAAATATTAATAATTTTTATATCATAGCCACTTGGAAACACCCTGATAACTGCTTGTAGTTATATTTTTAAATGCCGTATTTGCTCTATTAGAAGCACATGTGCTTGAATGTAAATGACAGAGGCAAGTCTATGGTCAAAATAAGACATATTTCAATCATTTTTTATATAATAATTAAGTGTATTGGAGATGTGCTTCTAATATAGGAAATACAGTATTCCTTATTTGTACTTCATGCCTCCAATACCCTCAGCTCATAGGAATACTTTCTAAGCTTTCTTTGATTTATTTTTTTTGAACAGTTCTTAAAATTTAAATCATCACTGTTCCCACGAAGACTTTTAATCCTATCATGTCATAATTATGGCATACCGAAGAGAGTTAGAGAGAAGTAGCAGTGGTATGTATATATTTGTGTATTCTTAGAAAGTAATAATACTTTAATACATGACAATGTCTGCTCAGTATTCTGATTCCCTTTATAGGTTTAATGGACTGTTTACCTTTATAACATTTGGTGCATCAATGTTCATTTTAGACATTGTGAAGTTTCAGTGGAATATAGCTCAATCCCATGGATTGCACCACATGCTCATGGATGATTAAATCCGCCTCTGGCCACTAAGTAAATGAATGCTTATTATGCTCGCCTACTCAAACTGTGATTGACAGGCATTTTAAACTCATGATTTTTACATGTCGCGGTACGTTTCGATCGAAAACAACAACATTTTTACATCAAAAGCCCAACCAGATGAGTGTAATCGTACATATTCATGCCCCTGTAGATATGTATTTGGAATCACAGCTTGATCTCCAAACATCGTAAATGGCACATTTCACGGAGCTCCCGACACAATGTGAGCAGCTTGGTTCGGATTAGCATACTAATACAGCGGTGGCCATCTTGCCCCTACTTACAATTGTATAGTATCGGTTCCTCTTAAAAGAGCGGTGGTCATTTAGCAGTACATGTTTGAATTTCATGTAAACAAACAATGCATTTTACACATGTTTTGAACGTTGCTATGAGTCCCATATCAAACAGCACTTGACACATTGACCACCACCCTTTAATAACTACCTTATACTAAAATATGTTTGGATATTTAGAGTAGTAACAAATTCCCACTTCCGGTTCGGTCCACCACGAATATTCACTTTTGAGATATAATTATTGGTATGTGTTGATATTTCAGCTTCGTCGTCCTGTACTTCGTTCAGTAATTCGGACTTCCCAGATGGTGTAAGAATGAATCATTTTGCGATTTTGACTTGGAAAATGCCTAGGCTAAATTTTTTTCTGAGGAACCGCCTCTTAGCTATATGCACTCAAACTTGCAGCACATGAACCTAAAAGCGTTAGGTAATCAAACAAAAATGACGTTGTACTAAAATACATAAAGTACGTTCAAGGTCTTCACTTTTTCATAGCATAAAAATGATTTTCTCCCTTGCTTATTCAGTTATTGTGACACCCTCAAATCAACTGATTTCCATTCCCCTCAAAATTCAACAATGGTTTTAGATTTATGATATGACTCGAAACAGTTTATTTGCCTTTAATTACGTTTTGATTGTTGTCGCTGTCGTTCCTGGAATCTTGCTGATAACATTTTGGCTCAAATTCACGTAGCTATCACGGTGAAAATTTTAATAACGTCGTCGTTTGAAAAAATAATTAGCATAACAATATTGTATTATATATATCATCTATATACTAAAGCAGGCAGTTTTATCTTTTAACATTGAAAACTAGGATCCTTCGGGGAAAGTGAAAGTCAAGCCGAGATCAGAAATAATTCAAGTACACAAACAGAAATCATATGCCTCATTGAGATGTGTAGATTTAAGACCAATTTACACATATTGAAATATTTTGCTTTGTTTCTTCATAGTGCCGTATATAAATTACCTAGATGGAGTGGCCTTTAAGATTAGCGAGCGGTACAGCAGACCTAATCTTGTATCTCTACCAGTGAGCTATCATCAAAAAAATCCACATGAAGTGTTAAACAGAGAGGTGAGACTAATGTTATAATTTTGTTTTATGTTATTTTCTTATTCATTACATTTATATCGACGGTAAGGAATACAATGTGTGATTAAAATATCTGCTTGTTTATCTACTGTCCAATCTGTTGGAATCATGATCTATTAAAATAAATATTGTGTATACATAATTATTGAGACATTTATAATACTAACATCCTCAAACTATTCGTTCTATCCTATCAATCTATACATGTCTCTTGTCCTTATCCTTGCCACAATAGCAATCAATGTTTTTTAAACTGTTTTAGTGGGCTTTCTGTTCTGCTTGATTTCAAATACCGTATTTGCTTCATTAGAAGTGCACCTCTAATAGAAATACACATAAGCCAAAAATTAATTTATTAATGACTGGATCATAAAAATATGACTTAACCTTTATTGCACTACTAATGAAGCAAGTAATATAATGTGGATTACTCTAGTTGGAGTTCATTTTTGCTGGAAAAAAAATCCCAAGTAATTTACATATACTTGAAATTAAGTTTTAATCTTAGAAAAAAGTGTTTTCACTGCATTTTATTTTTACTGATTTATTCAATCTGTGAATATGGTGAAAATAATTTCTAGGAGAAAATAATTTAAGGTATTCTACAGTTTAATAATATAGTCAGGGATTATTCCATATAATTATTGGAGACAAATTATTTTAGGATCTTTGGTTTTGACAAACACTTCTAATCTCATTTTGTTTTCTTTGTAGTATGATTTTACTGTAGAGAATGAGATAATAAGATGGGCTGATGAGATGAAACAAAGTCAAGCTGCCAGAGAAGCCCAGGCTCAATCCATGAGAGAAGCGGAAGCACATTTAGCATTTCTTGGGACTGCAAATTCAGCAGCTCAAAATGATTTAGATATCTTAGCTAGCGCTAATGATAGTACAGTACTGGACCCAGTGGTTGCTAATATGAGTAACGAAGTGTTGCAACCTGTGCCACTAAATCAACCGCTGTGTATGCAGAACAATCAAAATAGAACTAGTTCTAGAAGTTTTGATATTTCAGATTTCGAAGGAGAAGCATCAGATCCTTTTGAAACCACAGAGTTGAAAACACTGAATGATATGGAGGAACTGAGTCGTGTTTTACAAAGTAGCTATCCCAATGCCTCGCCTTCGAACACTGGGGATGCAAATGTTGCAAATACCCAAAATAGGAATCAAACTGAAACGGTGTCATTCCAGGCATCTACAGGGCATGTGTCTTTTAGTCGAGGGAGTGATCAAAACCACTCCCAACAGGTGATTAGTAATGGACCAACAATAAATACACCTTTGAATTACACTACAAATATTAACGGCTTCTATGGCAGTCACAATAGTCCACAAGATCCTTTTATTCGCCAACCACCACTTCCACCCATCCAATCACCTAGATCTGAAAGCCCTTACACAAACTGTACAGCGAACAGGAGTTCTTCAATGCCAGATATCTCCGGTCAAATGAACTATTCTAGCGGAAACCCTGAGTACGCAAGCTATCCAGAATCATTATCATTCCAGACAGCTGTAGTTTCGGACTGCACCACCAGATCGGCAACGCCACCACCTCCATATTTGGAGACAGGGGTAAGAGATGATAACAGAATAAGTAGCAGATGTAGACTAGATAGAATGCTCCCTTTTAGGACGTCGCTATCACCTGGTACAACTGTGAATTATCCGCCAGGTTACCCACAGGTAGGCACTATGCCTTAGCCATGACAGTGTGCCAATAACTTGAACCTTTCAATAGGTACTCTCACCTAACCTAACATTTCTAGCTTGTTACTTGCATGTACCGGTAGCTAGTGCATATATTTAGTAGCTATAATCTCATAAATTACATCTCTGTGTCGTTCTTGTTCAGATCCCACCATCTTTCGAAAAACTGACTAATAAATTTGGTGTTTCAGGATTTTTGTGTTGAATTAACAAGTTCAAAGTAAATCAGTATGTTTTGTCTTTATAATAAATCATTAATATGCTTATTCAAACTTTCAAAATGAGGATTGGTCAAACATCTTTCTCCAGTCACATGTGACCTGATTAATAGATCACACCGTTGGATGCTTCCAGTAGGCAATGTTGTATTATAGGTTTGTTAATATACATCTAGCATCGGAAACAATAGAATTTACCATTCTGTAAAAACGTATCTGCACTTTGTTCAACATTTCAATTTTCCTATATTTGGGGTTAATTCCAGTACCAAAATTATGTGTTTAAGATTATTGACGTCTCATGTAAGCACAGAATCATCAAATGTAGAAGCATTTGTGATGAAAATAAAATCCTGTCAATGTTCTTACAGCGCGAATCATTATTTTTGCCAATTCAGGCTGTTATCTCTTATTAAATTATTACAAGCTGGATGAAGGTGCATACTAATATGGTTATGATGAGAATACTGCAACGTATGCACTCAGGCAGTACAGGAGGAAACAACCTCAGCTATGCATCAGCTGATTCTACCTTTGTTCATACTTTGGGTTACTCTCAGTATAAAGACAGTGAGAGTATCGGCAAACACTAAGTGGAGGTTGTTGTGAACACATACTATCTGAGTGCATAGCTTGTAGTCTATTGTAATAATCTTATTTTTAATATCATTAATCATCCTAATCCAACCGTGTGGCGTCTGTCATCTTAAAAATACCTTGTAGTTGTTCCATGTATCTACTAAATAGGAACATGTATTTGACCAAAATAGCTGATATTTGACGCGTGTATCAAGGGTCTGCATTATACATGTAACTGCTTAGATGCATGGGAAATTACTGCATATACTGTAGATGTAGTCACTACATGTACACGTATGTTGATATAATTTATTTCATGGCAACACTACCAATTTTATCACTTGGTAATGGTAATAATTTTTTTTCCCAGATTAAATATTGAGTATAATGTAATTTGAATAAAAAACACAAGACAAATCTGATGTTTGCACAAACAAAGGGGTTTATTTGATCTCTCTGTCAAACTCCAAACATATTTAATCCATTACATTGATTAGTTAGTTACAGTACAGTATAGTTCATTGTACCTATTCTGGTTTATATAGTGTTTTGGTATTCAACTTCCGCTATGATAGTGTTTTGTCTTTAGTTCACAATATCATACTTGTTTGGAGTGTTTAGAGCTGGTAGTTTACCATTTCATGCAGGGTATTAGCTGGTAGTTTACCATTCCATGCAGGGTGTTAGCTGGTAGTTTACCATTCCATGCAGGGTATCAGCTGGTAGTTTACCATTTTATGCAGGGTATTAGCTGGTGGTTTGCCATTTCATGCAGGGTATTAGCTGGTAGTTTACCATTTCATGCAGTGTATTAGCTGGTAGTTTACCATTTCATGCAGGGTATTAGCTGGTAGTTTACCATTCCATGCAGGGTGTTAGCTGGTAGTTTACCATTCCATGCAGGGTGTTAGCTGGTAGTTTACCATTTCATGCAGGGTATCAGCTGGTAGTTTACCATTTTATGCAGGGTATTAGCTGGTGGTTTGCCATTTCATGCAGGGTATTAGCTGGTAGTTTACCATTTCATGCAGGGTGTTAGCTGGTAGTTTACCATTTCATGCAGGGTGTTAGCTGGTAGTTTACCATTTCATGCAGGGTATTAATAGCTGGTAGTTTGCCAGTTCATGCAGGGTATTAGCTGGTTGTTTACCATTCCATGCAGGGTGTTAGCTGGTAGTTTACCATTTCATGCAGTGTATTAGCTGGTAGTTTGCCATTTCATGCAGGGTATTAGCTGGTAATTTACCATTCCATTCAGGGTATTAGCTGGTAGTTTGCCATTTCATGCAGGTATTAGCTGGTAGTTTGCCATTTCATGCAGAGTATTAGCTGGTAGTTTACCATTTCATGCAGGTGTTAGCTGGTAGTTTGCTATTCCATGCAGGTGTTAGCTGGTAGTTTACCATTTCATGCAGGGTGTTAGCTGGTAGTTTGTCATTCTATGCAAGGTATTAGCTGGTAGTTTGCCATTTCATGCAGGGTATTAGCTGGTAGTTTACCATTTCATGCAGGGTATTAGCTGGTAGTTTGCCATTTCATGCAGGGTGTTAGCTGGTAGTTTACCATTTCATGCAGGGTGTTAGCTGGTAGTTTGCCATTCCATGCAGGATATTAGCTGGTAGTTTGCCATTCCATGCAGGATATTAGCTGGTAGTTTACCATTCCATGCAGGGTATTAGCTGGTTGTTTACCATTCCATGCAGGGTATTAGCTGGTAGTTTGCCATTTCATGCAGGGTGTTAGCTGGTAGTTTGCTATTCCATGTAGGGTATTAGCTGGTAGTTTACCATTTCATGCAGGGTATTAGCTGGTAGTTTGCCATTTCATGCAGGGTATTAGCTCGTAGTTTGCCAGTTCATGCAGAATATTAGCTGGTAGTTTGCCATTCCATGCAGGTTATTAGCTGGTAGTTTACCATTTCATTCAGGGTGTTAGCTGGTAGTTTACCATTTCTTGCAGGGTGTTAGCTGGTAGTTTATCATTTCATGCAGGGTATTAGCTGGTAGTTTGCTATTTCATGCAGGGTGTTAGCTGGTAGTTTGCCATTTCATGCAGGGTATTAGCTGGTAGTTTACCATTTCATGCAGGGTATTAGCTGGTAGTTTGCCATTTCATGCAGGTATTAGCTGGTAGTTTGCCATTCCATGCAGGATATTAGCTGGTAGTTTACCATTCCATGCAGGGTATTAGCTGGTTGTTTACCATTCCATGCAGGGTATTAGCTGGTAGTTTGCCATTTCATGCAGGGTGTTAGCTGGTAGTTTGCTATTCCATGTAGGGTGTTAGCTGGTAGTTTGCCATTTCATGCAGGGTATTAGCTGGTAGTTTACCATTCCATGCAGGGTGTTAGCTGGTAGTTTGCCATTTCATGCAGTGTATTAGCTGGTAGTTTGCCATTTCATGCAGTGTATTAGCTTGTAGTTTGGCATTTCATGCAGTGTATTAGCTGGTAGTTTGCCATTTCATGCAGGGTATTAGCTTGTAGTTTCATGCAGGGTATTAGCTGGTAGTTCATCTTTTTATGCAGGGTATTAGCTGGTAGTTTACCATTCTATGCGGGGTATTTGCTGGTAGTTTCTTGCAGGACAGTACTATATACATGTGGTTCCTTGCATGTCATCACAATTTAAATTGATCCTCTCCTTTGTTTCTAACCAACTTTTTAGCTCCGCTGTCGACTTTGTCAAGCGGAGCTTATCATATGAGTGATTGTCCATCGTCGTCCCTGTCAATGTTTTACTTTTTCGACTTCTTCTTGAAAACTACAAGCCTGAATGCTTTGATACTTGGTGTATTTGTACCTTGGGTAGACCTCTCTTAGATTTGTTCATTTCATGATGATATCTTCAATTCTCTAATTTTGGTGAATATTTTTGTCATTTTTGATAAAAAGTGATATTTTCAACTTCTTGTTAAAAACCGCAAGTTCATTTGCATTTGCTTTGATATTACATATATAGGTAATACATGTGGACCTCTCTCAGATTTGTTCATTTTGTAATGATATCTTTAATTCTCTAATTTTGGTGAATAATTTTGTCATTTTTGGTAAAAAGTGATATTTTCGACTTCTTGTTAAAAACCTCAAGTCCAATTGCTTTGATATTACATATATAGGTACTACATGTGGTTCTAACTCAGATTTGTTCATTTCATGATGATATCTTCAATTCTCTAATTTTGATGAATGTTTTTGTAATTTTTGGTAAAAAGTGATATTTTCGACTTCTTGTTGAAAACCGCAATTCCAATTGCTTTGATATTACATATATAGGTAATACATGTGGACCTCTCTCAGATTTGTTCATTTTGTAATGATATCTTTTATTTTCTAATTTTGGTGAATATTTTTGTAATTTTTGGTAAAAATTGATATTTTCGACTTCTTGTTAAAAACCGCAAGTCCAATTGCTTTGATATTACATATATAGGTACTACATGTGGTTCTTACTCAGATTTGTTCATTTCATGATGATATCTTCAATTCTCTAATTTTGATGAATATTTTTTTAACTTTTTGTAACTTTTGTTGAAAACCGCAAGTCTGATTGTTTTGATACTATACATATTGTTCATTTTCTAATGATATCTTCTGTTCTTTAATTGAAATGTGCATTGCTAACAGTGGAGCTATGCACAGCGGAGCTATCTCAGCCGAGAGGCTGCTTGTTTATGCTTCTCACCCTTTTGTTATTATTTTGCAACAATTCCACATGATGTGATTCATTTGAAATTACATGTATGTTCCAATTAAAAAAAGCACTGTTCCCTTTTCTTTTTTACACATTGTTAACTCCAACACTGCAATTTCATCATATGTGGTATGGGTCTTGGCACCATTCAATTCATCCATACTTTCTTAAAGACGAATGTTAGACTGTATAAGAATGTGGACATGCAACTGAAACAACAAAGGGGAAAGACTGATGGTATCTGCTCGGTGTATTCCCAGCTTTTTATTCACACAATTGTTCAATTCCTTGTCGTCATATATCACAATGTAGATTTTCAAATGTGAAGTTACCACACATAAAGTATTTCAGTTATTTGTTCATATATCTAGTGTATTGGTAGAACACTGAATTCAATTCCAGAATAAGAAGACAGCACCAGCTTTCATAGTTTATCCTATTTCTTTATTTTTGTTTTAGACTTTGAGTAGTTATACACCATTACCACCATCACCAAATCCACATCATTCAGACTCTAGACCGATTGATGCCCCGCCAGCTTACTCTGAGAGGGATAATATATTACCTAATCCTTACAATACATTGTTGGAAAAAGAAAAACGTTTTATTGATGATATTACGGATATGGGATTCCCACAACATAGAGTAGCTAGATGTGTTCAAAGTCTGGGAGAAGATAAAAAACAGGTAACGTTTACAAGTCCTATTATAAATACAACTACAAGCTGTGGTTTGATAAATTGTGATAATTTATTGTCATCTAATTTGGTAGCCATACATGTATGTCATAAATCATTTCAGAGTACAGGAATAAATAAATACAAAGTACACACTCAGTGTATGTTTGTCTTTTGACAGTAATGTGAGTTATTGATTTGATAGTTAAGAGTTAACACAGTACATGCTGATCTTATTGTATGCCAGTATACATGGCCATACACGGAGACTTTCAGTACACTATATTAAATTTGTTGTTGTCAATAATCATAATGTTAGTGAATATTGTTGATAGAGTTCATAAAACGTTTACCACAGATCTCAGTTAGCAACACTAGCTCCAGCTTAACTACTAAACCTTGGCTATTAAACTGTTTCCTTGCATTCATATAATGAAGATGGCTATTTGATTGGTATATGTTAGTCTTAGATTTTGATTTTAACAGTAAACTGATCAGTAATATTACCATTATGCAGCATTTAGATTGCAAGATTTACCACAAAAACGTTGTCTGAATATCAGTTGAAATTGCTAGGATATTCTTGTAATTTGAAAATGAAGTACATAATCTCAGAAAACTGGTGCTGGGTGTATCAAAACAGAAACATAGGAATGAGTATCCAGTATCAACAAATTGACATTGACCTTTATCTGCTATATTCTATTCAGGTTTGTAAATACTTGCATCTGCTGGTGGTTTGTGCCATTTATTGAAAAAAGGTTTTATAAATTCAATCTATTGTTGGCGGAGGGCAACAGAGTAGCAGTCAGGTTGGAGTTAGTGGAGATAATAGCTGAAACATGTAATGGAATTTACAGACAACCAAAGAGGGATTTTTGTTACAAGAATGAGTATTACTTTCAATACCAACACCGAACATAGAGGTTTTCTGATCAGTTTATTTCGGTGCCCACTGTAATATGATTACAGTAGTCATAATGTGACACATTGTATACAAAATATGATATAGTATGTACACTGTCAATATTACTGTATGTTATGGTCACATGATTCACATCCATCATTTTCTGCAGGTAATTGAAACATTGTGTGCAATAGATAGTCTAGTAGCAGTTGGATATCCAGAAGAATATGTAGAAATGGCGTTGAATTTACAAGACAATGAGGAACAGGCAAGTACAATATGTGTACCGTATTTACTCTATTAGTAGCAAAGCTTTAATGTAAGTACCAAGGTATGATCAAACTATCGGTATAAAGTCTCGTTTTGTGATGTGATGTTGCTGGTGGTTGTGATTCTTGTATCCAGACTACATTTTAGTTGACTGAAATTCACCTTCTTCTTGCGTTACTCAAATCTCTTATGTTTTTCATTACAGGCAATTGAATTTCTGAAGCTTCTACAACAGTTCGAAGAGCTAGGGTTTAAACAGGAAGAAATTACAAGGCAATTAATTTTACATGGAAATAATCAAGAAAAAGTTCTGGACGGTTTAACCGCATAAGTCTTGACTAGGATGACAATTGTAATATATTTGTGCGGATTTACACATATTATCAGCTACTTTTATGAAATTTTTCATTTCTTTTTTGAAATGCATTGTATAGGATGTTAAGTAAAAAATTGATTTATGTGTGTCTTTTTTTATGTTGCATTTACAATAAGTGTGTTGTAGGCATTGTGGGAATCACATGGGTAATGTGTCAGAATTTATTACTGGGTTTCTCTTTGTTTTGTTTGCTCTGTTTATATCAATGAATTTACCTTGGAGGATTTTATAATCAGTGAATTGTGTTGTGGCCTGACATTGTTGATACATGTGGAGGAGGGGTGGGCGTATACTTCCACCCAGCTAGAACATACAGTTATTGTTTGGAGAAATGGTCTTTCAATGTGCACAAAGATGTAACACGACCAATATCAAATTTATGTCATCTTGTCTTGTCATCTCCTGGAATTATCGGATGGAAATCCTGCTATCTTATCATGTTGTTAAAATATGTTGATCATTCTCCTGTATATTTTACAGTGATCTGAAAATCACTCACAGTGACTGCCCTCACAGTATTTCCGTTTCACAGAGGCTAAACCAAGGTGGTACATTTTGAATCTTGCGCATGTGCAATTTTGAGTGTCTGTAAAATGTCCCACATACGGTATAATGGGGAAAATGGGTAGAATGGGGAAAATTTTCTGTTTCAGGGGATGTTTTATCAATTGAAATCAACCTTCAATGCATGTATATCTGATCGATTGCAAGAACACGAGTACATTATCCAGCTTACAGCATGTTAATCGCACTTAGAGTTTGTAACAACCATGATCCACTGATTATGTTGGCATAAATATGTACATGCATTTCGGGCCTTGTTACTATTGTCTATGCAACATTTATATATTCAAGAATACTTATTACTACACTTGGACCATGACGAGGTAAAAAAGCCAACCACTGACCTCAGACCACTCAATGTCTGAGCGCTAACATCGAATTTCTGGTAGATCAAAGGATAAGGTACTTTGAACTTTGAGTTGTGAGTTTGATCTCAACTTGAGGCTTAGATATCACACTGGTGTGGATGCAATATCTGCATATTGTACTGCACAAGAACAAAGAGGTCAGAGTGTTGTGATAAATGTTGAATGTATATCTGTGGTATTGAATGATCTCAATTTAAAACGGTATAAATTTTCGCTGAGACGAGAAGCAAAAACGAGGTAATCCGGTTTTGAAAGCACACATGTGAATCGGTAACTTATTTTGGTTATATGATGTGGGCTGCCTCGCCATGTTAGCATGTTTGTAAGTTTTCTACTGATCAAATATGACCTTCGATTTGGGATGAAACCAGTTTGCATACAATATGATACATACCAGTATTACAAGTGTTTGGCTTGGATGAAGTTTGCTATACTGTGTTGTATCTTTTGTATACACTTTATGTATTCTACTGTCATGAAGACGATATAGGCTGTTGCACTTGTTTACGTTTTGCTCGAGCATGTGCATACCATATAAAAACTGGTTAGCATGAAATAGTTTTCCTCTGCTGTTATTAAATATACATGCATGTGTTCCTGTCAATACAACTTATGGGCAATGTTGTCACAGTAAAGCTTTGTCCTATAAACAGTGACCAACATTTGTTATCAGAAATTTGCATACAGTGATGTCAGTACCACAGGCTGCCTCCAGGTGTGCAAGTATCTGAATAACTTTATATTAATCAAGTTATCACGATTGTTTCCACTAATGTCAGTTTTTGATAAACCAAGTTGTCCATCTATTCTAGTTTTTGTAACAGTGTCTCCTCTTACCTCGTCACTGCTGCCAACTGTTTTTTTTTTTTAAATGTAAATATTGTATAATACTGAGGAAATACGGTTTTGGTGTTGGTCTAATTTTTATTTTGCATATGATTAAATGTGATTCTGGATTGGTCAGATGCTAATGTTGTGAAAAAGTTGCTAACTACATGTATGTGCCAGTTCATCTGATTGGATGTTGTGTGCAACAACACTTGCATAGTCAGAAACTAATGTATCATATTTAAAGCTTAATATTTAACTGGTGTGAACATGTCTAATTTCTGTATATTTATAAATATTGGCAATAAATATGCAAATATCTCTACAAGGAGAACCTGGAGTTTCATTTGTAAACAATTTAATTCATCGCTAAAGTGCTTGCAACTATTTGTATCAAGAAATGTCACTTGCTAGCCATTTTTTCCTTCAAATTTTCACTCCTGAAGCGCATAATGAAAGTCTTTGCAGTTACCATGCGTATCTGTCCCACTCAAGAACCAATTATGGAATTGCAATGAGTAAAAATCGGAATATTAACTACCTAATTTGTGTAATTGGGCAATTATAAGCTGTTCCACATCTGACGCCAATGAAACTTTGTACATAATATGCTATAGGCTAATTCAGACCAACTAGTGTTTGGTTGAAATCTGTGAATGTAATTTAAGATCTTAAGAACTACTAAAATACCTAATTTGCAAAATTTAAGCTTTTCTATTGATAAAGCAATGCAAGACAAACAATCACACATCTAAGATTTTATTGCATCTTTTAAATTAATATTTCCATGGATGGATTACAACCTCACATACCGGTACTATATAAATTATTCATAATCTGATTTGACACCTGCCTGAAACAAAAAGAAATTTATACAAAATATTTGAAAAAATATACAATCGAGTATTAAATTAGGAAAAAAAAAATATTTACAGATCAGAAAGAGAAAGTTATTCTCCCATCTCTTATAGACACTGCCCATGCTTCATGAACCGAATTCGTACAATGTGTTTGGTTACCAATATAAGGATGTCATATGTTACTCTCACACTGACTGAAGAATCAATGCCACATAATAAAGCATAAAATTGGCAATCAGCATCAGTTACCTTAAAGCCCTGATGCTGTGCTACAATGGAAATTATATATATTTTCTTTACAGTTCAAGCATGGCATATTTTCTGTGGGCATGCATAGTGAAACCAGCATGCTTGAAAAAAAGCCTACGGAGAATACTTCCCCCATCCTCTATAATAACTACCGGTATAAGATTAATAAATATTCATAATTTACATATTTGTACATTTACAATTATGATTACAATTATACATTATATTTCATGAGATATAGAAAAATATTACTGAGTTCATTGAGTGTGGTGTTGAAATTAGAAAATCATAAATTTATCATCCCCTTAACATCAAAAATATAATTTTTGCATAAAATCATAGTTTCATAATAATCAAAATGTTAGTTTATATCATATGTAATAAACTTTAAAATAAATTGTAATTATGACCAGTTTACAAGTCAGTCATAACCTTGAGGTCAGTTTAGTAGTACATTCTATGGAATCATTTTCTGCATGGAAACAAACTTGTGTATTTTACACAAATATGTGCAGTGCATGTCTTACATATGATAAGTCCATTTGAATTGGTTGAAAATATTTGCATTTTTTTTAATTATAAATAATATTTCATAAATAATACAATTTCAACCAAAAAATTATATTTTGTCAATTTCCCTCTAATTTGAATGCAAGAATATAGATTTATCTTAAAGGCATACTGGTAAAAAAAAAAAAAAAAAAAGCATTTTTTTTTTTTTTGAAAAATGTTCTCAACTAAAATACTTTTATTTGTGTAAAGACAGCATTATAACATAATGATCTAAATTATGTGGGTTATTTATTGTTGTGGATTCTTATCTTGAAGAACATTTTAAATCATCAAACAAATTTAAGGCACAAACTTAATTTGTGATAATCTACGTGGGAATGGCAATTTATCAGAAGTGTAAATTTAGCAAGTCAACCACCAACCACTTAAAAATAATACAAAAATAAATTAATCTTGTGGAATGATCTGGAATATGCACAAGTATCTTTAAAGAATGAAATAAAACGATATGTATTGTTAACTTTAAAGTCATGATTTTGCTAGTTTCATGTAGCCCTAAGCAGCTTTTTGCACATATTTGGGGCAATAAAAGTCATATTCTTGAAAAAAAACAAAATACATTGCTTCATGGAAGCATTTGCAAAAAAAAATAATGAACAGTTCAAAAAATAATACTCTTCTCTAAATGTGTTTAATGATCCTGTGGATAGTTTCAATTCCTGTTTCTGATATCACTGCTGGATTAAGTTCCTGGATGTGATTTCAATGCTGGCTTCCTGTTTCAGGTGTGAATGTGGGGTTTTTCTCTGGACTTGCACACAGAATAAACGTTTCTAACTGTGATCGCAGAGTTTCAATACATCTCATCTTATTGTACAGCACTTCATCAAGTCTCATCACAAAGTCACCAAAATCCTTTAAAACAATAGTTATGAGAAAGATAAAGTGTATACTGACACAACTTGGGACAGACTGAAATCAGAAGACATGTCTGTTGTGGTGTTTTCATAACAGAATGATGGTGCATAATAATGATACGGAATTCTTACCTGGTCACCAGTCTTGACTTTCTCTACAAGTTGTAATTCTTTATCATTAAGTTCACCCATCTCAATAATTTGCTCTTCATGTGCTGACATCATTAAATCTCTGCAGAGAGAAAGATAATGTCACATGTCAGATTAGAAAATTACTAACCATGGTTTTATGACTCAAGGATAATATTTCCATGATCAAAACATTACATGGACCCTTAATGCTATGGATTAAACCATGTCGAGAAATGGTAAAAACTGGCAGCAAGTCAATTTCAAACAAAGTACCCAAGACAGAACTACTCAAGAAATAAAATAATTAAGGGCATGTACAAAATTGTACATTAATTAATACATGACCATGTACCAGTTCTACATTGAATTGATGCCTTGGACAGGCAGACAATTTAACATGTGTGAGTCTCTAATGTCTAAGTTGGAATATGCAAAATATACATCACAATTTCAAATTATAGTGCATTGTGGGATAGCTATGTCAGATTGCACTTTTTATGATTGGCAGTGTTGTTTGATTTGGTCATCTATCCCCACAATACATTATGATTTGGAATAGTGATATGGTCTATGGCTGCCAGTCAACTATCTTTGATTGGATTGTGACATAATCAACTGTGGTTGATATGCTTGAACACAAAAGTCTGTGAACCAAGTTTGAAGATAATTGGACAGTGTGAATTTGAGAAATAAGTTGAAATGTGCAAAAAAACAAAAAACTTTGGTCAACCAAAATAGCTGACAGTCGACCATCTTGAATTGAATTGTGACATAGTCAATTTTCTTTGATGTGCTAGAAAACAATCATCTGTGAACCAAGTTTTGGCATAATTGCACTGTGAATTTGAGAATTAAGCAGAATTCGGCAAAAAAAAGGGAAAAATTGCAAAATTCCGTCAAACAAAATGGCTGCTGGTCAGCCATGGTGCATAGAATCTGGACAAAAATCAATTTGCATCTTTGTGAAATAATATTCTGCCTCTGTACTAAATATAAATAAACTTAGTATTAAATTGTATTCTCAAGTTATAAGCAAAAATGAACAAAATGGCGACCAGTCAGCCAATTTAGAATTTAAAATATTGGATGTGCCTCAGTATGCCAACAGGTATAACCTATAATCTAAGTTTGAACAGAATCAACAGAACTTCGAGATAATGCTCTACACATATTAAATGTAGGTTTTTAGACCATTTTTAGGTCAAATTATGCCTGTCAGTTGGCCATTTTGTATCAGAACAAAAAAAATCTGGGGCATACGTATACCAACATTTATCAACTATGTACCAAGTTTGGGGAAAATCAGTCCATGATCTTCTGAGATGTTTTGATGGACAGACAGACGGAACCAAATACATAAGCTAAAGCTGAAAAATTCTTAGCATAAAACATACGGTATATTAAATTTACTTACTGTGACTTTTTAATGGCCGATTCTGAATAATGTCCGATAAATGATGATTTGTTCTTTGGTGTTGCTGGGTACTGAGGGGCATCACCACTACCATTAATGTATGTTGTATGACTGCCCCTAGAAGCCACCTGTGAACCACTATGTGCCAAAGCCAATTGTGAACTACTGTGTGTAGAAGCCACCTGTGAACCACTGTTTGTAGATGCCACCTGTGAACCACTGTGTGCAGAAGCCAACTGTGAACCACTGTGTGTAGAAGCCAACTGTGAACCACTGTTTGTAGGTGCCAGCTGTGAACTACTGTGTGCCAAAGCTAACTGTGAACCACTGTGTGCAGAAGCCATCTGTGAACCACTGTGTGTATAAGCCACCTGTGAACCACTGTGTGCAGAAGCCGTCTGTGAACCACTGCTTGTAGAAGCCACTTGTGAACCACTGCTTGTAGAAGCCATTCGTGAACCACTGTGTGCAGAAGCCAATCGTGAACCACTGTGTGTAGAAGCCGCCTGTGAACCACTGCTTGTAGAAGCCATTCGTGAACCACTGTGTGCAGAAGCCATGTGAGAACCACTGTGTGTATAAGCCGCCTGTGAACCACTGTGTGTAGATGCCATTTGTGAACCACTGTGTGTATAAGCCACCTGTGAACCACTGTGTGTATAAGCCATCTGTGAACCACTGTGTGTATAAGCCGCCGGTGAACCACTGTGTGTAGAAGCCATCTGTGAACCACTGTGTGTAGCTAGGCATTCCTTTCTAACTGGTGTAAAATAGGCACTCTCATCATCACAAGTTACAGAAATCACTTTGGTGTTGACAACTGGAATGACATTAAGGTGGCTTCTGCTGGGCTTTGTCTTTGGTATTGGTTCACCCATGCTATTTGATGGAGGTTTAGGTTTGGGCTGTACTGGCGTGAACGCTGACGTACTAGAGAATGAAAGAACTTCTGATCCAGCTGGTGATGATATATCTGTAAGATCACTCATTACAGAAGATTGACTGGGACTTCTTGAATTTGAAAGAACATCATTTTTTTGTGAATCAGGTTTAATCTCCATGGTGTTGCTTGGCAACAGTGTTTTTTGAATACTTTTATCCATAGCAGTAGCACCAGTAGATGAAGCAATGTAGGGATCTGTTTTAGGACTGAGTCTTATGATATTTGAAGGGCTTGTCTTTGGTGGTGATGGTTGATGATCAGACTCAGTCAACTGAACACCATGCTTTGCATCTGGGCTTCTCATAGAAGAGGTAGCAACTGTTGTAGTTACTGTAGTAACTGTGGTTGTTGTGATAATGAAGGGGGGTATCTCCTCAGTTGTTTGTTCAGCAGCTGCAGTGATTAGGCTAGTAGTTGTAACTTTGTTTTCTGGGCTACAGGGCTTAGGAATATGAGCTGGTTGGAACAAAGATGTTTGAGATACACTTTGAGAGTCTTGTGGCACACTTGGTTGATACACAGCTTTGGCAGTCTGACTTGTGTCACTTCTTGCTGAAAGTGGAGTGTCAATAGTATTTTTACTTTCAGCTGTACATTTGGCCTTGTTTTGCAAAAAGCATTCCTGGAAATTAGTTGTGACAATAACACCACTTGGTGAGGTCTTTTTTGATGCTTCTTGTTGCTTCCCGCCTCGTTTTGCTTCTTTAAGACTCTTCAGAAAGTCTTTTGGCGATGGTAAATCATGATCTTCTACCATGTTGCGACTAGTTTTCAAATCAGTGGTCCATCTTTTACGAGACTTCTTAGTAACTTTGCCAGGATCACTTAGCTTGTTGTCTTCATTTAGTGAACTGTCTTGTAGTGAGTCGACACTCATTGCATCAAATCCTCTACCAGGTCTGTCTTCGATATCTGGCTTTTCTGGATTCCTCAGATCACAAACTGGTTGGTCTTGTTGTTCTTTTCTCTGTGACGATCCCAGACTTTTTCCAGTCGCTGGTGATACTTGGTATGGTTCTTCGGCCTGATGTAAGGTTGTGTTATCACTACTGCTGTTCTTGATCCAAGACTGCTCAAGAATCTGATCAAGTTCTCTGATAATCTCACCAGTGCTATCAGTTTCAAAACTCTGGTTCTCCTTTGTAGTCTCGCCACCTAATTCTCCTTCACTGTCTTCAGGAGAGTCCATCAAGAGGCTCTTGACACTGCTGGAGTCATTACGCTGAACCCAGAACTCTTTAGACTTTCTTAGAGCACTATCTGATTTCAAATCATCAACACTTAGTCTTGTAGCTGATTTGCTTCTTGGAGGACTGGGTGGAGATTTATCTAACTTTCCAGCACTGGTAACAAATCTTGGGTTGTCAATTTCCCAAGTTGCTTGGGCTGGATTTTGTGATAACAGCTGTGTATTGAAATAATCAGCACCTGACCCTGATACCTGGGTAAATGCACTCCTGTCTGTGTCCAGTGCAAGACTTATCCTGGATGTACCGATCGTACCATAAGTTTGATGACTATGTTCTTCTGGATTAGAACCTTTCTTCTTTGGAGTCTTAATCTCCTTAGGCGTTACTGGTTTGTAAGCTGCAGTTGATGCTAACCTCGTACTCAGATCACATCTGGGAACTGACTGCTGAGACAGAGCAGCTGGTCTGACCTTTCGTTTTGGAGTGGATGTATTTGTTGGAGTAAATATAGAAGGAGTTCTCGGTAAACTGCTTGCAGTATTTGGACTAGAGAGCTGATTTAATGAGTCTTTCTTAAGTTCCTTCACTCTGAAAAATAAAAGAATGAGACTAAATTTATTTGCAGTTCTTCACAAAACTTTTACTTGTACCATGAGAAAACTTTCATCAGAATATACACTCAAGTATGTATACAGCTTAACCTTATGAATGCCATAGTAAACTTTTGTCTCCTTTCTTTCACTCATTCCACCATCATTGGTTCCATACATTTTCATAAATTTAGATAAAAAACTGCAGCCAATAAGAAATTAAATCAATTTAGTTCAATGTTTACATTTTAGAAAAATATACAGTGCCATATATTTCCTGTCATCAAAGAATATTTGTTTTCTATTTTCTGTAAGGTCTGTTCCTCAAAAATGGAACAGTGAGATTTTTTATGTATTTTTTTTCCTCAAATAATTCACAGCAGGAAGTAAATTTTGCAGGTTCTTCACTTCATCAACAGAGGGCGCTGTGCAGTGGCGAAATAAGTGAAACACAATTTGGTAATCTTTCAGCTTGCACAGACTACCTTCTATAAAAGGTGTTGAATTTGACAATTAACATACAACTTACCTATTAGCATATCTAAGTGTATTTAAAGTGTGTTCACTGGCATTGGTGTTTGGTGAGATGTTGGCAATCATACAGGTACGAGAATTACCCAGGAATGAATCTTTTAACACTTGGGTTAGTTTACTCTGTCGAAACGGAGTATGTCTCTGTTCTTGATCTATGGCACGGATACACTCTTTTAGCTGTAGGGAAAATGGAAATATTTACTAAATCACGTACTGACTTGTTACATATTAATGCATGAAACACTGGTTCAACTCGGTCTGGTAATGTATAGCGCCCTCTAGTGGCATACAGAAAAGTATCTCTAGAGAGCGCTCTCCGTGCCAAGAAGCAAACCTTCAGGATCTTCACACGTTGAAATTGTACTTACAGCGAGAAGACTGGTGTTAATTTCAGCACCTTCTATTCTAGTTATTCTATCAGGATCATTAGTGTCTTGGGCTCTTTCACTGCCAGCCAAGTCGATGAAGGAAAACCTAATAAATTAAACAGGTTAATTTTTTTAAAACAATGAACAGAGTAGGGATTAGCAAGAAAGATATATTTCATCTTGTAAGCATTCTTGTACAGTGAAATATTGCAAGACAGAAAATTCTTATTAACACTGCGCCATGAACAAATGAGGATACCGTAGTACAATACAGGAGACATGGACGATATAGTAAACAGACAAGAACAATGAAAAAGAGTTATGATGACAAGAACTTGTCACTGTAGAAACAATTGTAATATGAAGATAATATGAAATAATATGATACTTTGGCGTTCTCCAGGTTTTTTTCATTTTTTTTTTTTTGTGTGTCACTGTCACTGCATTCAAAATACAACTCAGATTCATTTACTTTGAAATGAATTATTTTCATTTTTGCATCTCAGTGGTAGTTAAAAGAATGATATGTAATTTATTTTCAACTTGGTCTGAACGTCCCTATGGTTGTCATATTATTTCATTACTAATGTTAACAACACAAAGCAGGACAAGGCTGTGCTCTATAAAAAGACCATATATCAGGGTCATGTTGGAATCTTTCTTGTCAAATAAGCTGATATGGGCATTTAGTTTTACTACATACTATTTAAGTTAATATTTGATTATTAATTACTGTAAAATCTGTATTAGAAACTGCGGCTTCTATTAAAATGGTACAATACAACACAGGGGATGCGGCTTCTATTAGAGCATCTACACATATGAGAAATGGTGAATTTTTGGTTCTCAAATATTTAAAATGAATGGGTGCGACTTCTATTAGGGATGCGGCTTCTAATACAGATTTTACGGTAATTTGTATATTGTTTCTTGTTAACATATATATCATTAATGGTAATATTTACCTAATGATAGGAATCAAATTAATGTTGTCAGTTTCAGAAAAGTTTTAAAAAACTTTAGGATAATGTTATACAATGGGAAATTGCTACATATAAACTAAACCTTAACCTTGAATGAAAATATTAAAATATTTCAGGAAAGGGAGTGGTGTACACTGTATGTGACACCAAAGTCAAGTTCACTTCACAGCCTTCAGCCTACTTTAGCATGGTAATATGTGAACTGCTAAAGCTAGAGTAGAGAGAAACCCACCAAGGAATTTATATATTCTAATTTTTACAGCAAGAATCTAACTTACCTTCCAAGTTTTCTTTTACCACCACAATCTTTGAGTTGTATTTGCAGTATAGCGTGGGACCTTGATGAGTCAGAATTCACCCCGGAACAACCAGTACTCCGGGCTTGATTACCAAAATCAATTATCTACAACAAAGTAAACATATATTACTTATTTATTTATGGTGACACATAATTAAAATTCACCTACATGTTTACAATATATTACATGAATAATTAAAGGTAACCAAATTTACACACTTATATAAACATAAAATATAAAAGCCTTGTAATTGTTATATTGAAATCCAATTCTGAATGTCAAGTCATGTGATTCTATATAGTATATAAATACACAAATAGTACCGGGGGTAATAAAAGATTTTTGAGATATGCATCCATTTTTCAAGTAAAATTTGATAAAATGGCAAATAGGAATACTGGGTAGTATTTTTTGAATGGTATCAAGGCAAAACTACTTGGACATCAAGGCAAGTGCTTTGATGTCTCCATGATGTCAAGCCATGCATTAGGAAATCACAGAACATGTCAGTGTCAACTGATCTGCTTTAAAATGAATGAATCTTACACAAGTACCATATGGTAGCATACAGTTCCTTTACAAAGACCACAAGATACTGACTTAATCAAAAGAGTTTACTGCACTATTAACATCTAGCATGTTATGAACACTGTATGCACGTCAGAATCAATTAATAAAATTACTGTATACTGAAAGGTAGAGAGATCGTAAATTAATAACTGAGTAAAAAGCCCCTACCAATGCCTTATTACAGCCTGAATGCAGCCAGTCTGACAGTTTGTGTACTTTGAAATTACTCTGGCAATCTTTTGAATGCACGTCACCGGACAATAGAGTCAAAGGTCAGAGAATACCCAAACAATCAGCCAGTCAGGTTGTTAGCCGTTTAACGTCAGAATCAATGACCAGTAGTGGCACAATTCTGATGCTAAGTTTTCAAAAACTGATCATTCTATTTAAATCTTGTTTAGGCAAGGGTAAAAATGATATAAATCCGACTAATACTAATAGTGATATTTAATTTAATGAAATAACCTTGAATGTTTTTTATTTTAGATATCAGCGGACATACCCATATAAACAAAACGAAAGAGTCATGACAAACAATCAGTAAACAGTAAAGTACAACATGTATTAAATGATCTTTAACGTGTAATAGTATTAAGAAATCATTAACTCCCTAGCAACTGCCAATGTATGTAAACATAGCAACACAAGTCATGTCTTGTTGTAACTGTCACTGTACGTTCACAGCATGTACAGACATGGAATGATTAGCTATGCTGCCCTCAACTGTCTCTCAACTAGATAACCTTTTGACCTCAAACACCAGTCAAATTCAAATCTAACTCCAGCTCTCATAAAGAGCCCTCCAAACAAATACTCAGAATTGCGAATTTGAATTTAGACTGCCAAATATCTTACTGAGTAGTTTTCTTTGTTTACTCTGAAAATAATAACATAACATAACTATTGTATTATTTTTTTCTCCATAGATTTTTTGGTGCGAAGGGGCAAATGTTTTTTTCTCGGTAAAACCACATTGAGCAACAAAGAAACAGCTACATGATTCAGTTTTACTAAAGTATTTTCAGACATTATTTTCTTTACTAGTTGATTAGCTTACAAGACCTGTGTTCACTGATGTTTTACAATAAAGTCATCCCAATTTGATTAAAATACTGGATAACAGTCAGTTCAATTCAAGTCTCAATTCAAGCGTGAATTTTCATATTTAGCCCCCCCCCCCCAAAAATAGTGGAGTTATCTGAATATTTAAAACTGTGAAAGAATTGTCTGACCATATATAGGCAGTCAGGTGGTGGTAGTGACGGTGGTCGTGGTAGGGTGGGGTGCGGAGGAACATCTAAGACATATTCAGGAATACATCTAAACATTAAACAATATTAGCTGCAGTGTAAATCATTATGATTTGCTCACTCCGAAACAAATTATGCGCAGTGACAGTGGTGTGAATGATACAAGATTTAACCACATACTACATACTGTTATTAATTGGCCTTGAAACTGACATTTATGCTTATTCTAGCGTGTTACAAAATTAGCAGTTAAAATAACCATGACCCAACAACTGAATATAGCTTTAATGAACAGCTGGCATCACCGACCATTAGCTAGGCATTCTCTCACAGATATACTTACTTGCATTAAAGCAGCAACATGGTTAATTTGGAATTCTTTTATACCAGCAATACATACGTTATGTTTACCATCCTCCCTGGCATGTAACCTGCAGAAGAAAACAACGATAATCACATAAATAATCATAGACTCTATCTGCTCTATAATGCTTTACACATGAACTTGATTTATGAAAATAAACACATTCTGATCATGGTGTATTATATAAAAAAAACTACAGATTGATAACAGAAACTTGCGAGATAAAATATGATATGTGAACACTTATAAAACCTGATATTACAATAATACAGAAGCAGCTCTTTATATATTTTGAGGTTATACTGCAAAGTATACAAGACGGCAATATGCTCGTATTTGGTAATCGTGATCTACTCAGTCATGTGCTACACTTGTCCATACAGAGTTTTACGGATGGAAGAATTCTATTGTTTTTGCTGCCAGGTGTATATAACAATGGTAGTCATTGTCCGATTGCAGACAATAGTTCATCGCTAAAATCACCACACTTGTTTGCAGTTACATTTTTTTAGAGCTGAGCCAACATTCACATTTCCCTAATCTCATGAAACACTGAAAGCAGTTTTACTGTTTGCTATGTGTATACAGTATAAAACACATGGCTGGTCTATTATACGAGTCAAGTATTTGTTCCTGGGAAGAATAGCTTTGTCTCTCACTGTGCATTGGCACTATTGTTAGGTAGTAAGAATCAATACAAATCTCAGTGTGACCTGACCTGAACTCTTTAATGCTTAGACATGTTAACGGCTGATCTTTCGCCCTACTTTGTGCGCTTTGTTGTGTAAAATGAATGTCAAAAACAGGCACTTTGATAAGGTTAATGTCATTACTGCAGCTAGTACTACTAAAAGCAACAAATTACACCATACTATTAAAGTTGTTTTGACAGTTTTCTTAATTCAAATTATCTATAATAAATATTAAAATTTTAGTTTGGGTACAATAATGTCTTCTATTTGATGTTATTGACTCGCATGAAGCAGTAATCAAAGTATTCAGTAAGTTAGGGGATATCACTCTGAACAATCTTAATAAAATACATCATATTCACCCTGAAAAGTAACAATGTCTACAGTTGGCTAGTTAGCAACCACCTGTAGAATCTCAACCAACCATAACAAGGCTTACATCAAAACACTAAGTATTATTGCTAGACATACACGTACTGTAAAATGTGCTTTGGCCCTGTGTCTTTGTTGTTTGTTACTGCTTGTACACAGCCATAGTTGTTTTGTCAATATGTTTACTATTCACTAACATAACTGCAACTCTCTCAAATTACATTTCCACCAATCTTACAAAACTTAACTGTTTATGTACACGTATTTAGATCCCAAATTGTAACTTAACACTGCTTACTTACTGATCCATTGCAATGAGTAACTAATTATTAGACTATCTTTTGTTTCCATATTTACCAAGAAAAAACAAACCAATCTCAAACTATAACTGTCATCTAGTAAATATATTATTATCCAAAATCAAAAAAAGTATGAGTTTTAAAATTTAAAAAAAAATACATCAATCTGAAAATTAAACTGGAGATGGGGACTCAACACAAACTGGCAGGCCATTTTATTAGGTAAATCAATTTGGCAGACTGCCAACTCTCTTTACTACTTTGTTTAGGGCACTGTACAGACTACAATTTATTCTTATATACACATTATTAGCACTTGAAACATCCTGATTATTGTTTTGACAATCTAACCGCCATTCAGACGGCGACTTTCCAATTTGTCTTGAAATGCAAAGTTATATCTTGCAACAATAACTATCTTGATAATAAGTTTGAAATTTGTCAACTGAGAACAATCTTGTTTTTTCTGAGATTTTGTCTGCCTGGATTGCCACTGCAGTGCAAGCCTGAATGTTTTTAGTAAAAAAAGTGCTATATACGGTAATATAGTTTGGATGACACAAGGATGCCTGCCTGCCTGGATTGCCACTAGTGCAAGCCTGAATGTTTTTTGTGAAAAATGAACAAATTGCTATGTGATACCGTACAAGTTTGTTTTGATGAAACAAGGATATCAGTGAACTTTGAACCTCATACCACATGTGACTACAGTAACAAGAAAAAGCAGTGAATGTTTATCAAGGTGTATATATTCTGTTTTACAAAAATGAATGTGGTTGGATCTTAAAGTTTATAAATCTGGAAACTGAAGATTCACGTAGGTCTGTATGGTCCATGGAAGTGGGAAATCCATCCATGGTTTGCAAAAATAACAGTAAATAACAGTGGATCTATGCAGCAGAAATTGCTTGACAATGTTGCATTTTCTTTGTAACTAAGTCCAAGGTTATGATAATGGATATTTTTATTCCACTTTTTTTTAACAAAGAACAAGCAATGGCACCTAAACTAGTTGGTACAGTATGTTAAACGAGTTGCATAAACTACTGGACTATATGGATAGTTAGGACTGTTGCAAGCTCCTGGGTGCTTATGTAATGGAATGTGATGCACCACGAGACATCACATTCCCCAAAGAAAGTAACCCCAGAATGAGTTAGAAAGTTACACACCTTTTTCTGCCGTTGAGTAAATCAAATAACTGTCCACAATAGATTTCAAAATAGCTGATCCAAACTGATAAGTTATGCCCATGATAACCGGAATGTAAAAGTGAAAATATATCCTTAGCTGCTAAGAGATAAAGTCCCTGAACTTTACCGTTACCAAGCATTGTATGGGTTTTACCAGCACCAGTCTGACCATACGCAAAGCATGTAGCTTTACCACTGAAACAGAATAACAACACAAATGTTTAGCATGATAGAAAGTCTGTAAAAAAGATATGCTGTGCACAAAATGGCTGAAACAAACGACAAGCACATGCATGAATGAAATCATAAAATACAACACAAATGAACTACTAGTAATATGCCATCATCTGTGTATCAGAGCATCAGTGTCAATGATTTTATAGTCTTGATATAATAACTACACTACATACTATTATTTGATGATAACAATTATTTAGATTGTGAAATAATATACATGTATCCACAAACATGGACTTAGGAATTTTTCGTGGGGTGGGGAGTATGTTGGATTGAGGGTTTTTTGATCACTTTGATGATAAATTACACAGTACGAATACTTTCCTTGGTACTAGTTAAACAACTTTGCTTATTACAGATACACCAGTTCATGCTTCAAACCTATATTTTTAGTGTTAATCTTTATTCTCACTTGGAATATTTTATTACTTCTGCAGGAGGGCAATAAACATTAACTGAACTGAAAATACATACACATGTCCAGTTGAAATATATATCACAGTAGATACAAACCTAAATATAGTAAAATTCTGTAAACATAGGCTTCCATCACTCTTAGATAGAATTTGTGCTCACAATTGAATGAATACCCTTAAAATATCAAAATAGTGAAATTAAATGCCATTGAAAATAAATGGTTTTACAGTATGTAATTCCACTTTCCCTTGGGAATATTAAATAAATTTCTTCCACAATGCGAGAAAGATATCAATACAAGATCTAAAACTATTAATACATCTTGTACTGTTGTTTATACTACTACTTTCAAGGCTAAGTAGGTTTTTTTTATTTCACCCCCCCCCCCTGCTAATAAACCAACATTCTCTAATGTACATGTACATTGCTTATCCATTCATCTATTCATTTATTTATTTTATTCATTTTTACTAACTCAACTTGATCTTGGTGATTAATGCAATGCAATGATTACCGACATTCAAATATCAGTGGATGTATTCCAGTTAATGAAACAACTGTATGTTGTCATAACAAATTGTGAGCTAGTGCTGATGTGTTGGCAAAAATGTAATCCCATGATGTCACAGTGCATCGAGCACTATTTCATACTTAACACTGGTACAGATCCCTAATCCTGTCATTGCCGGTCACAGCCCTGGAAGGTAAGAATTCTGCCTACCAGTACATTAATTCACCTTTCACTATTGAAACCTCTAGCAAAATAGTGAGAACACCAAATTCAGATTGTAAGGCTCCAATTAGAACTATAGTACTGGTAATACTGTAGTATTAGACACATAGTACAAATTTCTTTGACATTCAGTAGGTGTCCCTGGAATATACCGTACTTCCCCAATCGTATGATCGCCCAGGTGCTTGAACATGTAAAATTGGGAAAAGTAAGAGGGAGGCTTATACTCAAGGACCACCTTAGAAAAGATGGGTTTTTTTTTTCTGGTTTAACATTGTAACCATCTTACCACCGACGAAAAATTATCCAAATTACATCTTTCCTTCACCACTCCGGGCTTGGGGAAATATTAAGACTTTTTGAAGAAAAAAAACAATGAAGAAACAAACATGTTCATAAAAATACACACATTATATTACAATACGATTCACATACCGGCAGAGTAAAAATGGTACATTGAATCGCATTGAATAAAACACACTTACCCTCTGAAGACACAGTTGAGTAAAGGCTTGGCGGTTCTCTCGTAGATTTGTTCATTTGTTTCATTTTCCCCAAAGACATCATCGAAATAAAATTCATGCTGAAATACACAATGTTTTCAGTTCAATATTTTTTTAATTAACACTCAAAAATTAATTGCTCTATAAATATGTGAAATACAAAATACACTGGTACCACGGGATTGTCCATGCAGGTTTATTTTGGATACTTTATTATTTCTATTTTAGACTTGAAAGATTCAAACAAAATTTGACATACAGGAGAAATAAATAAGGGGATGTCAAAAGATGACACATAAGGTATATTGATTTAAGACTATATAACCTGTGCTATAATTATTTGACGTACGAATCATCAGTGGGTTTCCAATTTCTATGTGATTCTAGTCTTATAATCAATGGCTTAGCTACATGTTTTATACTTATTTTGCATCAATGTGTTATTGTGTGTATCTATGCATATATTTTCTTGTCTTTAATCTGTTATTTGCACAATTTGTAAGAATCTTATTATAGGACTTTGTGCCTATTGATTTCAAAGAATAAATAAAAAAAGAATTTGCATGTTTTAATGATTTTGCACCGGTACCGGTAACTGACATTCCTTGTCATCGAACCCCAGAGAAATTTTCACTGCGACAATTTTTTTTTACTAAGGACATTAAAGCAATTTACAGTATATATATTATTGTGTACACATGAACATCATTGTTACAAAATTATCCATGCATATAAATACGTATCAATTTTGTTCTTGCCGAAAGCTCAATTTTACCTAAATACATAGCATAGGGTAGGTGACTAAAACTAACATCAATATGTACATAATGCCATTGTATTAATCCTAAAGCCCTAACCCTAAATCTTAACTGAGCCTGTAGGAATTTGGAACATGCATGTATTCACATGTATTCATGTATTCACTCCAGTTGCTGAGTTTTTCATGGCCTTATTATTCATCTACAAATACATCCATACTTCAGTCTAGATGTACTCTGATGTTGCAATACCATAATCCTTCTATTGGTTGCACCACCTAATTTTTAATAAAACACTTTTTTTTTTAATTTTACCCTAGCAATACAACAATCTTGCGGGAAATGTCTATAACCATATGGTATCAATGCACATTGTCAATCAACAAACTGAATACAGTTGTATTCAAGTTAAATGCAGTTTTATTTTTGCTGGTTCTGTAGTTATTTATCAAGTATAATATAATTCTCTATGTTTCACTTAGCCCCAGTCCATATTTTGTAAATCCAATGTTGGAATATAAATTAACTACAACATTAATATTTTCATGATATAATCAAACAGAGCATTGAGTCAATATGTGAAAATTAACCCATGTCCATGTTAGAACCTTAAAAGAAAAGAGCATTCTGATGTAAGAGAATGACTTTGAAGTGAATGTGCAGGAGTTCTCGTGTGAAAATACATTCTATCCATCGGTCATAATTTGGAAAAAACGGCCGAAAGTTGATGACAATTATGTGACACTTTTGAAACAAAAAAAACAAGATAACTCGTTCGCTCGGGAAGAAAATGACCTCAAGGCAGTTTGAACAAAATTTGAATTTAATAATACTGAGCACATACATTGTATGGACAAAATTTGCCAATGGTATAATTGAAAAGTATTATCACTCTGGAAACCCACAAAACTATTTTGAAATTTTTTTTTTAAATGTTTTAAAATTAGGATTCATACCAATACACAGACAATGTATTAATATATGACCTTTTCATACTATTTACAGAGAAAAGTATTGCTATATAAAAAAACCATGCAAAAACATTAACAATACAGCACAGATACATTACGGTATATATTTTACTTACCAGTTGTGTAAATTTTGTAAGATCTACAGCAGTCTTCTGTCCATTTAACACTACTTTATTGGGATGTCCAACAGAGATAATATCAGCCTCTTTATTTCTTTTTTCCTTTTTACTCAATGGCCTCTTTCGGACGCAAACTTTTATTCGGTCTAATGGCATACTAGTAGAAGTGTTATTATAAATATAGCTATGGCATGTTATTGAACTATTTGTCGGCACGGTGTATCTTGGAGAAGATAAGTTATTACCATGAGTGTTTATTCTTGCACTGGGAACACCATAGTTGTAGTCAGTGCCGGTGTGACTGATTACTTCCACTGATCTCTCTCGTAGTTTTGGTCCTGTGTACTGGATGCTAGTTTCATGTTGAATCACCGGCTCAGACCGCTGCTGTCTGGGTTTTGATTGTTTTCTTGCTGGAGTGGGATCCTTAGCTTGAACAAAGAAAGCATCTCCTTTATACGCTAGCTTGTCTACAGTCGTCATACGTATGTTATTGTTCGCTATCAGAATTCTCTTGGCAAGGGAGACATTATTCAAAACTGATGAATGAATAGATTGATTGTCACGGGAGCTGTTTACATGCATTTGATGTAAATCTTCAGACGCAGATTCTGTTTCAGAGGTTGCGTGGTTTGAAGATGGACGTGTTGTACTGTCTTCACCGCCATTTTCACAAGCTCGGCCACATTTCTTACCGTTTCTTTGAACACTTTTTATAATTTGTATGAGTTGGAATAGCCTTTTTCTATCCTCCATGTCATCAATGCCGTAGGTGGAGTATTCTTGCATTGTCAGATTCGTCAGACCCTCAGATCGCGTGATTCCGCCCATTTCAAAGTTAGGGTAGTACTTCTGCAGCTTGGCTTCCCGTAAACACTCGTACAAACAGTTAGCCATTTTGAAGGGTTAATTAATACAAATAAACTCCTAAAATGTATAGCTTTTAGGTTCAAATGCACAAGACCTATATGTATCTGTTGACTCCCTGAGGATGAATTGTGGAACTCCACGGTGTGTGCAAGTCAGTACATGTAGGTCAAGTCATTGGCATTGTCTTTTGATTCTGTAAGCAAACAATAGCGTATTTATAAGAAGACGAAAAACGGAGTAAGAACAATTGATACAATGACTGAATTCAGACATGAGGTCAATACAGTATTGTAAATACCGCGGGGGTAATGATTCTCAATATGATAAATGTATTTACACAGAAAATAGGCTGAATAATATTTAATTTTTCACTGGTGAATTTTCAAGATTTGACACTGTAAAATCATGTATTTTCATTGACATTTAATTTCACTATTTTGAGCATATTCACTGTGTTTTAATTTCACAGATTTGTCAAGAAAAAAATGAGTTTTATTATTACTTTAGATATTCACATAGATTTGATTTAGCGGATTTTACTTATCCGCAAAAATAGCAAAATTAAAACCCAGTGAATAATTAATGCATTTACAGTAATTGTATGGTGCTTATCATGTGGGGACAAAATTGTGCAAAAGTCTTGTCAAAATTGGGAAAGACTGCACATCAAAATTAAAGTCGTTTACAGTATATATTAGAACACAATATGCAAATAGTACTGTGACTAGAAACAATTATTATATACAGCAATCAAAGTAAGGTTATTCCAAGCAGAAAAAACAAATTAAGAAACATAGCCAGGAAATTATATTCACTGAATATTTTGAAATTCATTTATATAGGAGTATCCAGGATCACATAAGCTGAGCTAATAATATTGCCATGACAGCTGAGATAAGAAATTCCCATTTAAATATAAGATCCAATTTACTACATGCAATTATGTCAATGTATTTTTGCAATCTCTGCTGTCTTCACATCATGGATAGCATATTACACACTGCCTTCCCTAGCATAGTACGTGAACAATTGTATCAATGAGTGAGTAAATAATACATGACCCTTGTACAAAATAAATCATTGAATATGCACACATATACACTGAATAAAAAAACACAGTCTATATCACCTAGCAACAAATGAGAACTACACAGTATCAGCATGTAAGAGATGAAGACAGGAAAAAATTACCTAAAATGAATGAAATAGTGTGAATAACAAAGCCAGACAGTGGTGTACACATGACTGTGTAGCGTAGTAGAATCAGCCTTCCCGCTCTCATTGTACTATTAAATATCCATAGATCCATTGATATTAAAATTATATGCACCGCTGACACTATTGTGTATTGTCACTCTATGCTATTAGCATATCTATTGTTATACACACTGTACACCCAATTTAATTCACAGAGTTAGAGGGGGAAATCGTCTGCCAGTAAAATAAGCTGCATATACATTGTAATATTTTTTAAATATAATTTTTTGAGCTGTCAACTTTTTATGTGTGACATGTGTGAGGGTAATTTGCATATTAAATTGACAGTTGCGCACAGAGGTCATATCGCTGACATTTTTTTTGAATTCATGTAAATTTAGTACTGTTTATAGACTGTTTGATACTTACAGGAGACTATTTAATTAGCTGTAATTTGCATAATATGAATATGTATAATAAGAGGGGTTAGTCACTATACCAGTTTTTGTGAAAATATTTTATATCATGTGTGTGATGATGCAAGATTTCCAAAGATAAAACATCACATTATTTGAACATGACTGGAAATAAGATACCTGGACTCGTTCAACTTGGTAATGAGACTTATAGTTTTATAATTTGCAAAAAATTGCTGATAATTAAAAATTAGATGTGAAACAACTTCTTTGTCTGACAAGGATATGTCTCTCATGATTTGATCATTGCTGTTGAACTTGACAGTGACTTGGAATAAATTACAAATGTAAATACATTCATGGTCTGTGATTAAGATGAAAAAAAATATTAGTTTTTACAGATGTATTAATTATTATAATTGATACCTATAAGTTCAGTATAAAGCTTGGCTAACATGCTAAGTTTCTGAGCAATGATTCAGGCTATGTTTTATCATAGCTATAAAGTTTAGTAATATTTTCAGTCAGTAAATAGTTTTTCAAATGAATTTGTTCATCAAATTGCTTAAATTGTCTTCATTGTTTTAGGTAATTTTAATAACTTATACAACATAAAATTTGCCACCTTTAATAAAAACATCACTAATATTAATATTAATTTCTTAAATGTCATAGTTAAATATAATTATTAATTTTTTTTAAATTATATGCTTCAAGTGGCAGTTGAAACTTTCAGAGGTTATATGAACATTAATCGCACCATTCAATATTTTCGTTTTTGATAAACAGACACTAGTAAAATTTTAGGAAATAAACTTGAAAAAGCAATAAAATAGAAAATTGAATCAGGCAAGGTTTAAGTTAATTGACAGGACATACATTATATGATAACATTTCTTGCTTAAGCATTACGCTACAGATACATTTTAGCAATAGTATATTGGAAATATTTCACAATATTTGTGAACTAGTATAGTATAAATCGTTTCTGTCATTACTATTGGATGAATGGTTGTGGCAGACATAATAAGGAAGTGAGTACCGGTAGTGACAAATATGTATCAGTTAAAATGACAGTTGGACAACTAAATGCAATATCACATAATTTGTTATGCATGTACCGTAATTATACAATTTCGAGAATAAATTATTTTTTACAAACTACATACAGCAGTCAAACGTATTAATTTGGATGAGCTTATAAATGTAATGGATATCGTTGAATATCATTCACTGAACATGTAGTACTAAAGTGTGCATGAATCGACAGAAACTAGTTTACCGTTATTTACAGCGTACATCTACGAGTCTGTTTTTACGGACGTCCGGCTATACCATGCGAGACACGAAGGATATAATGCCATAAGTCAACATCAACGATTTGTTGTCGAGTAAACACCGACGATCAATTTCTTCCAACTTCACCGAAAATTCATACCGTCACTTAGAGCGGTTTGAAAGATGTTTTCTTTGTTCAAGCCTCGCTGCTATTCAACAATAACCACTTAACAATACACGGCAACTTTACATCTGCTTTGCACGAGGCGTGTCAATACATGAAACTTTATAAACACCCCTTATTCTCGTAACCCCGGCGACCAGGATAAACCGACTGAGTGAGTCATACTCAAGCTGTTTACGCGCAATGTGACTAGTGAAACACATACTCAATCTAACATAATAATTACTATATACGTCAGTAAACAACAACATTTTAGCTCCAATTTTTTTTTTAGATTCGTTTTATCGAAATGACGGTGATCGGATTTGATTCTCGAAGCAGCAATTCAATTAGAAAAATACGAAATCGTACTTACGGGTAAAATAAACGGACGCTCTTGTCCACACTATTTTCTCACCACTGGTATACAATATATGTAGCTATTCCAGCCACATATAACCGATGAGACAACCAAGTTGTGTAGTTCTAAAGTACTTTCTGAAATTAATTTAGTCCGCCCGTCCAGTTTCTCAAGTGAATTAGTCGGCCATTTTGAAACTCGCGCTAAGAATATCGTCAGGCAGATTTATATAAGGCTCATCTTCATTGGATAACAAGACATCTTGACCTTTGACATGGTTGAATACAATCTTTTTCTGTGTTTGTTGTGTGTTTGTTGTGTATTTGTTTTGTTAACGAAATTCTTATCAACATATTAACTGATGTATACGAAGATAAATCATTAGACATAATTAGAACACATTTGTCTACTATGTATAACCAGGAATAAAAAGTCGACGTAAGTTCGACCACTCATTCGTTTCAAGTTAGCGAGGGCGCTATACAAGTAAATTATTTCGTAATGCAGTACTCATTTTGCGGTATTAATATTGATGTACATAACTATGGTAAATTTATTTCATGCGTGAAAAATTTAATCTCTAAAGTGGAACACCTAGATGAAAATAGATTGGCTACAAACCAAATCGTACACACCGTAAGGCGTTATTGTGGAAGGATTACTAATGACTTTCAACAAATCAGATAGTATCATAATGGTTATACATTATCAATATATGCTATTTTACTTATTTTATTTAAATTTCCGGACGCAATATTTTCCCTGTAACGCTTTATGCGCGATTACAGTACATTTCGTTTTTATTTTAGAAGTAACACTTGCTGAAATTTAGACATGAAACCGAATTTCTATGTATTGAAGTATTGGTTTAATCTGCATATGTTACCACGGTCTGCTACAGTCAATATTAGACAATTGTATTGTTGTGTAGTTAGGAGAACACAACAAATCTTCATAAAATCACAGGACTGTGATAAAATGTATAAGGGTACTGTTTACTTTTTGATTTACCTTTCCACGTTCCCACTAGTAGCACATTAAGCAATCAGACAGTGAATATTAACCTATAAACGTTATTATATATATTTCTAGTATTTTATTCTTGTTTGATGAGCCCCAATGAAAATTATACTGAAAGAGTGAGTGACTCGGTCGCTCAATAAAAGGGTATTAACTATAAATAATGACATTTGGCCAGAAATGTTATCTTTAATATTTTTTTTAAAGAGGAAGAAACCATTGCATTGCCCCATAACAAAACTTTCCATATTTTACCAATCATTTTCAGAATCTTGTTTTAAAAACAAATTACACTAGGTTATTTTCTATCTTCTTCTATCTACACGACACGTTCGTTTTACTGTAAGGGGTCAGCCATTTTAAATCATGGGAGACGGATCGCTTTATCTAAACATTTTTTTTTTCTTGAATGTGTCAACTTTTTTTCCCTGCCTCAGCTTGCATGCACTTTTTTCTTGGCTACCCCATGATTTCAAATGACCCATTCCTAATGCTCATTCGTCTTCATTGGACAACTGTACACAATCCCAAATGTGTTTACATCTTTTCAAAAATACTTCTTTCAAGTACCCTCAATCAAGTGCAGAGTTTTTGCTACTCGAATCTTCAAAAAGATGAAAAAAGTACCCAAACCATTCGCCAATTTTAATTTTCGCTGAAGGCTGCCCTGTTTAGTTGAAATTAATACTCGAACAGCTTGAAGGAAGTTCCTGGTTATTATTAGACATGTCATTTTTCAGTCGGTTAAAGGCGTGGCCCACAAATGCGCCTGGTTTAACGTGCTTACTTTTTCTTGCAATGCTGCAATGATTTCCATATGTACTGTACAGTAGTTATCTACTTTATCATATTTGATAAATATGTGAGAATCCGAACAATATTCTCATCTGATATCGATGTTTTAAATTCATTAAATATTATATTGTCGGTACTATCCCAGTAAGCCACAAATATGACGCACTTCTACTTGGCTTGTAATTGTCGTGACCATTTATAACTGGAAGAGCAAGATAATAACAAAAAATAATTGGCTGGAAATCGGTTCATGTCGAGTCTATCATCGACAATTATACCAAAAGATCGAAATTGTTAAACTTCATAGGACTAATTACGCTGAAACCTTGATATTTAGTACGTACATAATAACAATGAATGTAATTTATCGTTGCCTGTACGCATTTGAGTATGTTTACAGAAATTCAGTAATAATCGACCGTATGCGGAAGCTGACTATTTTGCCAGAAAGCGTACACAGTTTTAAGTTGGAAGGAATCTACTGATCTCATTTGAAACCTTGCTTGGTAGTTCAGCAGTGCGGGCATTGAAATTGTCATGTATAATAATTTTAAGATTTGGTTATCTGGCAAGCATTATTGCACATTCATATTTCGAAATATATCAATTATTATCACCTGAGAGTAGGTGGGCAAGGGGGGTAGCTGGTACAGGAAATAAAAACAAATTACTAATTAGATTTTATAGTTTTTATAATATTTTTGATAATTTGTGTTTAAGAATCAACATTGAAAATTGCGTACGAATTGCGACATTTAATTCGGAAAATGTTTTATGCACTTACAAAAAATAATATCTTTGTACAAATTACGGACGTCTACGACTTTACGTTTTTTTTATTTATTTAAATTACAGTATTACAAAAATAAAAACAGTTGATTACAGCTTACTCTTGACGACGCTCACCCGAGTAACTCTAATGCTCCCACCCCGTGAAATAAATCATCTGGAAGTAAATATTTACATCATTGTTCTCCAGGATCTCTTGTCGAGCCACTTTCTGCTAAGTTGGCGAACTCGGTCCGAAAGTAAATACTGATACCACCAGATACACGTCCCAAAGTATTTCCTTTAAACACGTCCCACGCATGGAGCAACGGTACGTGACGAGAACATATTTGCCAACAAAAATAATGCTCGTATTTTTATAAAGTTCGGATGGGCGTCTCAAAACCCCTATTTAGGATGTAAGTCACACCAACATGACCGAAAAGGACAAATTACCGTCTCTCTCAGACAAGTACTGATTTATGATGACTTTCTCTAAAATCAATGACGTGTACGGTATGCTGGGAATTTTCTATACTAGCCATTCTCTCCCACCAGAGTATTTTTTCCGCGCCACGCAACCATCAGCAGCCGAAAAAGGACGTGGTTTGCGACGATACTGGCAGTCGTCCGTTCGATTACTTTTTCCTCTCTAAGAGGGCGCTATAACACCAGGAAATAAACAAAAATGGCCGCTACTGTGAGAGCTGCCGGTCTGATCATCTTTCGTCGCTTTCAAGGAAAACCTGAATATTTATTGATGCAGACTTCATATGGGCAACATCATTGGACTCCACCAAAAGGTGTGTGATACAAGTTGCATGTAGTGCTAGTTTTGATGCCAGGAAAGATGGGACACAGTTGAACCGGCAGACCAATTGCACAGCAAGTCACGAGTGAATTACACCATGGAACTATAAACCCCATGATTACACGTTCATTTCACAAATGTACTCTGTACACTAGCTGCAGTTCTGTAGCTCGCGAGCTACAGAACTGCAGCTATCTGTACACACGCTTTCCCGTAGTATACCTTATGATGATCTACCATAACACAACATAGAGACAGGAATGCAACTCAGGCATAGATCATAGCGTCTATGCTTCAGATAAACTCAAGAAATATCAGCCCAGGGGCCTCCAACAAAAACAATGAAAACAACCCGCAAAATAAATAAATATATTTATATTGCCTTTTCAGATACTGTAGAATACTTTATTTTCGCTTGGAATTTATTTTCGCTAAAAGGATGATTCCGTGAAAATAAAATCCAGCGAATATACTTTTTTCCCTATATTTCACATTCAACTCGTCAAAAATCAGTGAAAATAAATTTCATACAAAACACCCAAAATGCTTTTCCAGCGAAAATTATTTCCAGCTAAAATAAAGTATTTTACAGTAGCTTTAGCATGGTTTTTGTATCGTCACAAGTTCGAATTTGACTGTTTTACCCCATCTTAATATGTAATATATAATACATGAATGTACATTGTTAAAGTGAAGGTCATGGCTAACAACATAATACTCCTCGATGGAAGAGCTCGGCAAATGCAAGGAAATGCAATTTACAGTTTTTTACCTTGCCCGTACCATCAAAGATGGAAGGGAAAGGTATATTAAGGGAAAAATTTTGTCCGGCGTTGTCGTCGTTGTTGTTGTTGTTGTTAATAATTGTTATTGTGTACATAATAACTTTACTAATTCTATTCCAAACTTTATCAAACTTGGTCACCTTATTCATCAGTATAAAGTCTTCCCTGAGTTTGAACAACAGATGTTCTGTATGAAAATATCATGCAAAAATTGAGAAAATCTGATAAAATATTTTGACTGTTTCTACTTGACTGATCACTGGTGATACACATCAAAGGTCACTGATCTCAGTGGAAATATACATTGTTGTATGTGTTCAATGAAGCAAATGATTTATCTTGTAATAATATCCTTGGTAATGTATCTCAGAATCCCATACTGGGTTTCAAAACCAACTCATGGAGAGATTGCACAGTCTGATACACATTTGCAAACCTACCAATAAAATCTTTACAGAAAACAAGAAAATGTCAGAAAATCAATATAAGCACTGCTATGAACTGGGTGCCAAACTTTGATCAAGATCTGAAGCTAATAGAAAATCTGTTTAGTCAAAAGTTATCAAATCAGAACAATACATAAAAAAATACATAAAAGCAAAATGTTGCATCCCCATTTTGAAAAGAA